TGTGTGTGTGTGTGTGTGTGTGTGTGTGTGTGTGTGTGTGTGTGTGTGTGTATTTTATTGTGTATTGAAAAGCTAAGATGGTTCTTTCTACCCGACATTATTTGATGATTAAGATAAGTGATATGTGAAGTTGTTTGTGAATTTTAAGGAGCCATGGAAATGTTAGGTGTGGTGGTGCTGATGACAGCAATCAGGGAAGGAGAGAGGTGGTGAAGCGGGTGGTGGAAACAGCACGTAGAACCCCATGAAGAATGTTTCCCCAGGACTGTTCCTTTTTCATTTAAATGAACACTGTGGTCTTTTCTTGTCTAGAACAAAGTCATTGATTTTATGTGTTCTGTAATCTAAGCCTGATTCAAAACTGGAAAACCAGTATTCTTTAAATTTAAACCATAATAAATCAATCCTTTGTGAAGGGGAAGGTATGATAATCATTAAAACATGTTGAAGAACGTCATCAAGTTGTTAACCATGAGGAGGAGGTGGTGTTCCTTGAAGGCTTTATTCCATCTTTGCTGTGGGCTGTCTCTAGCCATACACTTTGGATGATTTGTTTACAGGATTATTATTTCAGTTGCCTTACCCAGCAATTGGTCATTCTGTTGTTCCGAGGGAATTTGAGATTTCACCAATCCTGACTGGCATGAAATAATTTGAGATTTTTTTTAATGTATTTTTTTAAATCCATAAATTGTCTTACAGCGTTTTCCATTTTCAAAGTATTTTATTTTAAAAGAAACTGTTTATAATGATCTCTGGGGAGTGGAAACGAGAAGTGGTATGGGTGTGTGTGATAGAGAGAAAGCAGCAGTAAAGGGAAGTACTTTTTTCTGTATACCATTCTGACCTGTTGAAAACATCTCCAATAAGCATGTATTAATTTTATAATAAGAAACAAATCAGTGAAAAGTTCAATAGAGTCTCATGAAATAGAATAGCTAGTTAGCTTCTTCACATTTTATTCAACTCTAAGGCTGTGTGTAGAGGTAAAATAAGATCTTTAAACAGTGAGCCTAGAGGACTCAGGTCACATATCCACCCCTGAAGTTTTTAACCCTTCAGACTGGTGACCTCTATTAGATTTATTTTTCAAGTTATCACAGATAACTGTCATTTTCAGATAAGAAAACCAAATGAGAAGTTATGGCCCAGGGCAGAAAGTTACTGAAGTAATTTATCTGAGGTTATACAGCAAGGGGGAGGGAGAGAACCAGAGACCGGAACTCTTTCCACTATACCATGCAATGCTTTAAGTCTACTTTTTTTTAAAAAAACACTTATTTATTTTGGGGAGAGCACAACCAGGGGAGGGGCAGAGAGAGGGGGACAAAGGACCCAAAGCGGGCTCAACAGTGACTGCCTGATAGCAGTGAGCCCGATGTGGGGCTGGAACTCACGAACCACAAGATCATGACCTGAGCCAAAGTCAGACGCTCAACTGACTGAGCCACTCAGGTGCCCCATCTCTACCTTTTACCTTGTATTTTGTCATACATAAATTACAAGTTACAAATGATCACTGAAATTTAAATATGTGAAAGAGCTAGAATATCCAGGTAATATAACCAAATTCCTCTTCTGTCTCATTCAGTCCTGTAACTTGGTCCTCCCTTTTTATATCCTTAGTCTGTAATCTGTAGAAACAAAGAATTATATAAGTCACAGCCTTGGAACAACTGGGCATTCGCAGTTTGAAAATGGTGCCCTGGGTTATAATATTTTAGATTTATTTTTAGGATCTAACTGTTC